GTCTCCGTGAGGGTACCTCAGGGGCCTGTGGACATGAGTCTGGGACTGGAAGAAGTTGGTATATTGGGGGAGGGCACATAAATTTGGGGCATCAGGCAAGCTCAGAGGAAGAAAGGGCAGGTTGGTCAGAAAAGGCAGAGGTGAAAAATAATCAAGGAGCCAAGGAGTGGCCAGAGAACTCGGACGAAATCCAGAAGCAGAGCGAGGTGGGGTGAAGGAGGTGGGGGCAGCTTCCTGAGACAAAGGGTGTTTTGGGGGGTTTTTTTTACAACTGTGCAAAAAATATTCTTTATGTCCTTATATGAGTTATTGCAGAAGGCATTGTTATCATGGGAAATGTCTGCTCTATGCATCTTACTGCCCCAAAGAACTTCCAGTGGGACAAGGTGTGGAGGTGGAAGACAGTGATATTGATGATCCTGACCCTGTGTAGCTAGAACGAGGCCAATATGTGTGTTCCTTACTTTGCAAAGCTCAAGGAGTAACATTCTGGGGAAAGAGAGGGGCGGTCCAGAACATACTGGAAGGAAAGGGCCTCTGATGTGAATGGGGCATTTTCTGCACCGGACAGGCTAGTCTCCTAGCGGTTTTCTAGATCCAGTGCAGGTGTCAGCAAACCATAGCCTTCAATTCTGACCTGTTGCCTGTTTCTATAAATAAAGTTTTATTGGAACACAGTCTGGCCCATCGCCTGCATACTATCCATGAGTGCTTTCGCACTGCCAGGGCAAAACTGAGTAGTTGTGACAGAGGTAGTCTTGCCACAAAGCCTAAAATACTTATATTCTCTGGGCCTTTACACAATACTCTCTGTTGTCACCCAACAATCAAATATTCCTCTTCCTGTGAATCAAATTTCTGTGGTTCACATGATTTTTTTTCAAAATATTAATATAAATTAGATCACTCTCTCACTTGCTAGAAGACTTAGGAAACTTCTCTATTGCCTAAAGGACTAAGTCCAAAGGTCTCAGCAAGCCAAACAAAGCTCTTACGGTATAAAGCTGTACCAGGAAGTAGGAATCTGTTCTGAAAATAAAGACTTTGCTGTCAGAGAGATTGAAGTTGAAATCCTGTGTTTATTAATAACAGCTAAAGTCTCTTTAGCAAGTCATTCGAGAGTTGTGCCTCAGTTTCCCCAAAGAAAATGCTTCTTGGGACCTCCCTGAGGATTAGACATGAATGAGTCACTCAGTGAACTTCAGTGCCCCTTCTTTGCCTTTCCCACACCGTCTCCTTCATCTGCTGTTTTTCAGGACAGCCTGAGCCTGTCCCGTGCCTTGTTGTGCTCAGTACCTTTCTAACTGAGGACCTAAGTTTTGTTTAGTGTTCCAATGCCATCACTACTAAATATATTTCTAGAAACAGAAAAAAAACCAATACTCAATTATTATTCCAGGGTATAAAAGAAGAAATTGCTCCAGTTTTGAAGAACCTAAACACACATAGCAAGCAGAGATTCTAAACCAACAATCACTCTATATATTTGCCCTTTGATTGGCAGCTGCTTAATGCTGGTCCCCTGCCTGACACTGTCCTGGTACCGGGCTGCAAAGACTTATTAGTCACAAGCCTTGCCTACACTGTGTACCTTAGAAGGTCATATATACTGAAACGACCATAGTAAACTAAACCCTGTCTACTCTAGACAAGGTATGAAAAACTAAAGTCAATGTCAGATATACCAGATCAACAAAATACTGACCTTATTAGATAGGAAAAAAATTCTCAAGTGAGTTTTAGCTTTCTATATACTTACATGTTTTATATATTTATATTTGAAACTATAATAGCATACGCATGCATTTACGTGAGCACAAAGTGATGAAATAAAATTAGAGCTTAAGAGGCTACAACCTTGAAAATGAGATCAAAGACAGAGGCTTAGACTAGAAGCCTAGAGACCTAGCATTGCCACCAAGCAGCTAGAGACCTTAGCCAAGTGATGTGTGCTCATAAAGTGAGAGAAAAATTAATCTCCGATGTCCTGCCTAGTTCCAAATAGGCTTATTTTCTGATTTTAAAGGCAATGGCCTAAGAATGTTTTAAAAGTAGTAAAACACATTGTATCCACCAGGGGGCAGATGATTCCCAAGGAAATCTCAACTGGGCCCCTGTTCCTGGCAACTCTTACTTTTACACTCAATTTTCTCTTAATTCCCACAGCCCCAACCCCCACTAAAAATAAACTACTGGAGAGATATTTTAAAACCAAAACACAATTTAATGAGAAATCTATTCTTAAAGTCTCTGTTTCCTGAGTTAAATTAGATAAATACAGCTACTCTTCACATGAATGTTACATATAATGGGGACTTTCTGTTTGGGATTCACCCTCCCCCCCCTTACTTTTAAATACCATGAAAATGCCAACCCTCTTCCGTTTTATTACACACATATATATATTCACACACGCACAATGATCTCATTTGATTTTTCACTTTCTTCCTAAGCTGCTCTGTCTAGCAAGTGATATATTAGTCATGCTCACATTTTTTCCACTGAATGTAATAAACACAAGCAATTATCAACGGCAAATATCAAGTACCTTTAAGTGTGGACACCAATTTGATCCTCTTAAAATAGATTAAGTTCTCCCTCCCTCTGTTAATCTCGTTAAATTATATTCTGTATGCTGAAATAACAACCTTAAACTCTAACTCCTGAACTTTTTATGAAGTCTTCTAAAAGAGCCCACAAATGCTGCTTCTGGTCATAAATCAAGTTATTTTATTGGGCATGTGAGTCTTAAAAGCTCTCTTTCTATATTAAGCAAGTAGCTTCGTTTTGATTCATTGCAGGTTTTAATGACCCCTATTTGCTTAACAGAATACACTGACAATCCCATCAAGTTGTTTCCACATCCCAACATATTAGCACCCTTAAGGTGATGGAGTAGTGAGTGCACTGCCCATGTTTCCCTCCCCTTAGAGAGAGAGAGAATTCAGCTATCCACATACATGTAATTGACATTTGTTAAAAAAGCAAGGAATCATCCAAAGGATAAACTGCCAATAAGAAGAACACAATCGCTGAAAACTGTTTTCTGTGTGTGACGCCTGTAGATATCATAATAGAGCACCCACATCAAAGGGCTGTCAGAAGGTTTCAGGTGGCTCACACCTGTAATCCTAGCACTCTTGGAGGCTGAGGCAGGCGGATTGCTCAAGGTCAGGAGTTTGAAACCAGCCTGAGCAAGACCCCGTCTCTACTATAAATAGAAATAAATTAGTTGGCCAACAAATATATATAGAAAAAATTAGCCGGGCATGGTGGCACATGCCTGTAGTCCCAGCTACTCGGGAGGCTGAGGCAGGAGGATTGCTTGAGCCCAGGAGTTTGAGGTTGTTGTGAGCTAGGGTGATGCCACGGCACTCACTCCAGCCTGGGCAACAAAGTGAGACTCTGTCTCAAAAAAAAAAAAGAAGGTTTCAATACGTTCATGCCTGAGAAGTTGTTGGCACAGCGTCCAACACACCATAACCCTTCAGCAAGCCTTAGCCATTTTTAAATAAAGCCTAAGCCATTATTTCTTACCCATCTTCAATGTGACACCATATGGGACGGTGTGAACACTCTCCACTTCTCCTCCCAGGGTTTCAGCGAGGGGCTTACTAGGGCAGGTCTCCTCCACCACCGTGGGAGGGGGGGCTTCTCTAAGGGGCGCTGGGAAGAAAGGCTGAGCAGGCTCACTTGGACCCTTCCGGCTTGCTGTTCGCCATCTGGGAATTGGTTTCCCACAGTGATTGTGGCTACAGGTTACCTGGCTGTCCCCATGACTAGGTGGGTCTTTGTGTCTATCTAATCTGGGCTGTAATGGTTGTCAGCCCACTTGGCTGGAAGTCTGAAGTTGACATATGGCTCCCCATATGTCTTCTGTGCCCTCCTTCCATGGAAGCAGAAATCTGGAGGGGACATAGGAAGGGTCTTTTTTTTATTGTCCTTCCCCAAATCCAAACAACCTTTTCCTCTTGAAATAACATGACAATTATTTTGCCAGAAGTTGGAGTAGAAAGCCATCTAGATCAGATGTCAAAATCTTCTTTCACACCTGCTTTGAATATCATCCAGGGGTGTGATAATCATCTCTAGAACATGATTCCAATATAAATAATTAATAAAAAGATCCAATAGGATGTCAACTGGAATATATGTGATGAGGTCAATTTGAATAATAATAAAAATTAAGAAATACTTAAAAAATACATATTCTATTATTTTTTAGATAGTTCCTAGTAATAAAGGTTTTGACAGTGGGGGCTTCTAGTAGTTTATTTTAAAAACTGAGTAAGACTCGGCTAAAATAGACATGCCAAGTACCTTTACCCTATCAAAAGGATTAACTGAAATAAACACGCCCATATATATATTCCCTTTACTATATACATAAAAAGCTCCTGTTCTGTAGCTCATTCAAAGGAAAACTTCTGGAGCACCCAATTATTAAAAAGTCTTAAATCTGAGAGATTCTATCTAGAGTAATTTTATTACATTTAATACTAGTGAAAAAAGAAGCCTTGTTCAAATATACAAGTGCTTTGACTGGCCTTCTAGAATATACAGAACATTTAAATTTGAACGAACTGCTGTGCAAGCTTTCTTTAAATAGACAGAAGGACCCTGCTTCATAATCGAACAAACCGAAGAATAACAACTAAGGCAAATGAAAAAGTTGTTTAAAAAGGAACAGAGTGGGGTCATTATTCTGAGGACAAGAGCCAACCAAGGCGGTCCACGTGCTTTGCTAAGAGGGGGCTCCTGGTGTCTTCTGAAAGCTATCCAAAGGGACAACCCCCTCGGAGAAATTCAGGCAGCTATTAAAAAAAAAAAAAAGCTTTTTGTCACTAATGCTCTAAAGCAGGTTCAGGCTGGGAGTGGCGGAGGCCTGGGGGACCCCGGTCTGCAGCAAGTCCCAACCCCCCACCCGCCGCTGCATTCGGCTGTCGCCGCTGTCCCAAAGCGCCCCTTGCAGCTCCGCGCCTGCAGGCGGCCGCGGTTACCTGATGAGGACGCACTGGTTGTCGTGGCGCTTCCACAGGCAGCGGTAGCACTCGTTGGCCACGGCGAAGATGTGCGGGGGCAGCTCGCCCAGGTGGCGCCGGCTGTAGCGCTCCATGGTGGCGCGCTCGTACAGCCCCGCGATGGGCTGGTAGGGGTTCACCGAGGCGATGATGGAGCCGATGTAGGTCTGCAAGCACAGGGGGACACCGGGTGGTGACACGCGCGCCCCGGGCAGGGGCCTCGCGTCACCGAAACCCACCCACCCGAGCGTGCGCGGGCGGGAAAGGGGAGGTCGTCGTCTCTTCCCCCGTACGCGCTGTCCCTGCACCTCTTGGGTACGAACTCTTTGACATTCTGTAGAAATGAATGGAGCCATTTCAAAAAAGGCCCTTGGGGAGAAGTGTGTAAGAGAAGGAAGATAGCACGGCAGCCCCGGGCCCAAATCCCTGCTCCACGCTGACCACCCTAACCCTAATCCCTTCTCTAAAACAAAGGGCTGTCTGGTTCTGTCTCCTTCCTCAGCAAGGGGCTATGATGAAACAGTAGGGTTAAAAAAGTGACAATAGGCCGGGCATGGCGGCACACTCCTGTAATCCCAGCATTTCGGGAAGCTGGGGTGGGAGGATCGCTTGAGGCCAGGAGTTCAAAATCAGCCTGGGCAACATAGCCAGAGCACATCTCTACAAAAAAATTGAGAGAGAGAGAGGGAGAGAGGGAGAGAGGGAGAGAGGGAGAAGGGAGGAGAGAGGAAGAGAGGAAAGAGGGAGAGAGGGAGAGAGGGAGAGAGAGAGAGAGAAGAGAGAGGAGAGAGGAGAAGAGAGAGAGAGAGAGAGGAGAATGAATGAATTAGCTAGGCATGGTAGTGCACTTACAGTCTCAGCCACTCTGGAGGCTGAGGCATGAGGATCATGATCCTGTGAGCTCAGGAGTTCTAGGCTACAGTGAGCTATGATGGTACCACTGTACTACAGCCTGGGTGAAAGAGTGAGGCCCTGACTTAAAAAAAAAAAAAAGTGATAGGAGAGACAAAGTAGAAGAGAGATAAGCAGGGGTCGGGGGAGGACAAAAGGAGAGGTGTGGTTTAATGGGTACAGAGCTGCTGTTTTTGGTGATGGGAAAGTTCTGCAGGTGGTTAGCAGCCATGGAGGCACAACACTTAATGTACTTAATGTCATTGAACTATAAGCTTAAAAATAGCCAAAATGGAAATTTTTATGTTATACAGAGTTAGCTACAGCTTTTAAGACCATTTTGAAAATGCTAAGTATTCTTTCAGTAATCTCAACAGCCCATGAAGTACCATATAATTTATCTGGAACTTAAGATGACTGACAATCTTACTGATCTGGGACAAAACCAGGCTAGCAATTAAGCAACATCTTCAGAGCAGCAAAACCAAGACAACAGAGTTACCAAAGCTTAATGCCTGGGTCCCTCTCCATATGAACATAACTATTAGCTTGTACTTCTGCAAGAAATGTTAACTCGGTCTGGATACCTGGTTTCTAGGCTCAAACACAACTAAGAAAGTAAATCAGAAGGGTAGAAGCAGAGTGCTGCAACCACCAAGCCACCTTTTATGGAGCTCGTGCACTGTGCCAAGGGTCTTGCAGGGAATGACAGGCTGATGTGTGTTCCCCAAATTTGCATGTTGATGTCCTAACCCCCAGTACCTAAGAGTATGACTATAATTTGGAGATAGGGTATTTGAAGAAGTAACTAAATTAAAATGAGGCCGTTCAGGTGGGCCCTAATCCAGTCCTTATTAGAAGAAGAAATTTGGAAACAAAAAGATACCAGTGATACACATAGGGGGAAAAGAAATCAAAAAGCAAAAGCAAGCAAATGTAGACAAAAAGGCCAAACATCCTGTGAGTATCTGTCCCATATTATAGCCATTTGTAATAATTTATACTCATAAGTAACTGCCAGGAACATCAAGCAAAGTACTATATCTTCAGTATAACTTTTCAAAATGTAAATAAGTCTATATAGGTTGAGTATCCCCAATCCAAACATCCAAAATCTGAAATGCTCTAAAATCCAAAACTTTTTGAGTACCACCATGATGCTCAAAGAAAATGCTCATTGGAGTAGTTCAGATTTTCAGTATTAAGGATGCATAACCGGTAAGCATAATACAAACATCCTAAAATCCGGAGGTGGGGGGGGACACACCCAAATTCAAAATGCTTCTAGTCCAAGCATTTTGTATAAGGGATACCCAAAGTGTAATATGTTTTGGAAATAATCTGAACCCAAAAAAGTTTAAACACATAAAAGATATCACCATATGACCCAGCAATTCTATTCCCAGGTATATACCAAAAAGAACTGAAAGCAGATACTCAAAACAAATTCTTGTATGCTTGTGTTCATAGCCCCACTATTCACAATAGCCAAAAGGTTCAAAGAACTCAAATGCCCATCATCAGATAAATGGATAAGATGTGACATATCCACATAGGGAAATAATATTTAAGTGCATAAAAGGAATAAAGTACTGATACATGCATGCTACAATATGGGTGAGCCTTGAAAACATACTAAGTTAAATAAGCCAGATACAAAAGTTCACATACCCAGAATATGTAAATCCATAGAAACAGAAAGACTGCAATTGCTAGGAACAGCTGGAGGAAGGAATGGAGAGTGACTGCTTAATGGAGAGAGGATTTCCATTTAAGGTGATGAAAACATTTTGGAACTAGACAGAGGTTGCTATTGTTTGAATATTTGTCCCTTCCTAAACTCATCCTTAAATTTAATTGCCATTGTAACAGTATTAAGAGATGGAGCCTTTAAGATATGATTAGAGCCCTCATGAGCGGATTAATGCCATTATTGCAGAAATGGGTTAATTATTGCAGAGTTGGCTCCTGATAAAAAGATAAGTTCAGTCCCCATTCTCTCTGTCTCAAACCCTTCCTTGCCATGTGATGCCTCTTGCCATGATGCAGCAAGAAGGCCTGACCAGATGCTAGTGCTATGCTCTTGGACTTCCCAGTCTCCAGAACCACGGGCCAAACAAACTTGTTTCTTATAATTACCACTGTGGGTATTCTGCTGTAGCAGCAGAAAATGGACTAAGACCGAGGTCCTGATTATACAACATTGTGAATGTACTAAATGCCACCGAACTGTACACTTTAAAATGGTTAATTCTATGTTAAGTGAATGCCACCCTAATTAGGAAAAAAAATGTGATACTTTCATGAGTAAATGTTCACGTCCTTAGAAACATCCACTCTCTAGAAAGACTATGTCAGAGCACTGTGGGGAAGATTTAGCCAGAAACAAAGAGGGAAGCTGCTCCTTTCCCTGCAGAAGGAAAGTGTCCTACGCTTGAGGGTACCACACACCCTCCACCAATGCCTGGACACATATATTCCAATACCTCCTTTTATGTCAACTCTTCTCAGAGGTGAGGGAGCAGGCAGGCAGTGCTTGAATACTGGCCCCTTCCTCTACTTTGTTTAAAATGTCAGGCTTGTTTTCTCTCTCTTTGGTAGTTGTATACGTTATTATTGTTTTTATTGTGTTAATGTCAAAAATGTTTCTTTTTACTGTGAAATATATTATTTTTTGCCCTACTGTAGCAGAAGTCAAGACAGTCTGGACTGTCACTCTTTATACCTGGTGTCCTCAAACTATGGCCCTTGGACCACATGTGGGTCTCCAGGTGTTTTTGCCACCACTGCCTGCCATGCTTAGCAGCCGACTTGTCCTGGGCCCACAGTGCACACTCTCCAACGGTCTGAGGGACAGTGAACTGACCCCTGTTTAAAAAGTTTGAGAACCCCTGGTTTATACAGACAGGTAGGGCAACAGTCAACAAAGCCAACAATCAATGTGGTGATCTGAGCTACGCACACCCCAGGCCTCATCCTAAGTAGAATGTAAGAGCCACAGTTAAAGACATTAAGTTGACTATTAAATTTACTTAATTTAATTTAGTATTAAGGATATTCACTCATCATTAACACATTTTTTTTTTTTTAAAAAAGATACACCTATGCCTTGGAAATTTTGCATGCCCTGTTCATAACATGTTTGTATGGTTACTATAAAATTCTGAGATGAGCCCTTTTTTCTTAACATATTGATTTACCCATAAAACCGTCATTAATTCTAGACTCCTTTTTACATAAGTCTTCTTTGAAAGAATGATCACTTCGGTTAAAATCTCACAGCCATGTTACCTCCTCCTAACTGGGGAAATTCAATACCTGCAGAGTAGCCTTTTAAGACACTGCCGATAATGACAGTGTGGGTGGCACAGGTTCTGAATGTGGGGAGCAGACACAGTGGCATGAAGCTTGTCAGCAAAGGTGAAGATGCAACATCCAAATGGTTGCACACCTAATTTCATTTTTTACAGTAATTCGCATTGCACCTTGCCCAATTAAACAGTTTTGAAGCGTTTCAGAACGGCAGCTGCAGACACAGCCCAGAAACCAAAGTCCACGTGTCCTCTCCACCCCATCACAGTGCTGCCAGGGCAGGGAGGAAGCCGGGCAGCTTAACAACAGAGGCTCTGCGTGGAGGCGGCTTGCAGAATTTGTACTTGGTAGTGGCCATGCATGCTGGACCCCACGAAAAACTTCACGATGCTCTTCCCTGCTGAGTCCAGTCACTGCCACACTGCACCAGTGCCACCAATCTGTTTGGCAGCAGGGGCCAGTTTCATGGAAGACAATCTTTCCACGGAACGAGGCTGGGGATGGCTGGGGGTGCAGCTCAGGCGACGATGAGAGCCATGGGGAGCACCCACAGACGAAGTACAGAGAAATACCGATGAAACTTCGTTCTCTCCATCACCAGCCCCTCATCTCCTGCTGTGCGGCCCCGGTTCCTAAGTTTCACGGGAGAAAATTTTTCTGTGGACCAGGACTGGGGACTGGGGGTTGGGGACCGAAGTACTAAGTCACTATCTTTCAGAGGAGAAGAAAACCATGCGTAGCATGAAACGGAACACTTTAACAAGCGGGCTCAAAAAAGCACATAGCTTGAGGGTGAAAAGACCAAAACTATCAAAATTGGATTAGTTATAGGAAGACGCTGGTTCCGGCCAACGAGCACCACGCTCCGGCGGCCGTGCACTTTTCCTAAACAGCACTGACCTTCATTTGTGACTCTCACTATAAGATGTTGAAGACACATTCCTCATCTGCCAGTCAGTCGAAT